AGTGAGTGCTAATTCAGATACCCAGATAAGCGAGCCTGTATGTGCATTAGCTGTTGTCCTGTCTGTATTTCATCCCTAAACTGTAAACAAAGACGGCAGAATCGGTGCGGAATGGGGTGGGAATCATCAGTACAGTGCCCCACTCCGCTATGTTTTGAACGAATATGTGACTTTAGAGGAAGATGGAGGAAAGAAAGGAAGCTTGATTGCCTGCTAATCAGCCTCCTTGTAAATCTGAAAAATTCGTCCTCTTAAAGACTATTCATGAAGAGGGCAAGGCTCCCGCCCTGCTGAGATGTCCATCGGTATGTGTTGAGGATCACAATCTCATCTCGGACGCTGCTACTCTTGGATCGGGGTGAAGTCTCTTGCTGACCGGGATGAGCTAGGGAGTGAAAAAAAAAACTTGTGAACTAGAAAATGAAGAAAAAAAAAATCTAAAATGCTTACATCGACCAAATATACGGTGTCCAGTCTTGTTCTCTTGAGCAACTGAACGCATCGGGGTTCAAAACTTTGTGGCCGATCAGGCAGCTCCGACACATAACGCTTTTGCCTTTGGTCAGTGCTCTGCTAAAATAGGCCATCTTTAGAATAACACGTACCTCTGGTCCAACCGTAGGCCAAAAAAATTTTACAAATATGTCATAGTAGATAAAAAATTCACAATTTTTGCAAAAAAATACGCATAAATTTACAAAAACTTACTGTATTCCTTGCATCCATGGCAAAACGCGCTCCAGGATGTGACATGTATGGCCTGAAACTGATTTAAACATAAATAAAGGAAATCTTCAAGAACAAAAATCCAGGAAAAATCAAACAAAATGTACCTCGAAGCGAGTAAAGCCCCGTTAAGTGCTCCGAATAAAAGAATAGTAGATCGAACAACCCCTTAAGGAAAAGGAAAAAAAAACATCAGGGTTGTAAGCAAACTGACCACCGAGCACTGGTCAAAGATGCCAGTAGCCGCAACTGGAGAGCTAGACTATGAATTACGACCGATCGAAGTGTAAAGTGGAAGCCATCCGAAAAAAATGACCCGGGTGTTACTGGTCACTGTCCGTAGCGGTCATTTATTAATAATGCTGTCCAGCGACTTTCTCTTCTGACGAAGACCGAAGCTGATAAAGACACTAGTTTCAAGGAAACAAATCGCGAAAGTACAGTTTTTCCAATGATAGGAACAAAAAGTCATCAAACTTCAGTCACATAGTAGCATTGGTGGATCCAGGGTGATTTTCTGGACGGGGGAGGGAGAAGTTGGGCGGGTTTTCCCCCTTTCTTCCCGTTTTTCCCTATACTGGAAGCTTGACTATCCCTCTCCCCCCACCCCGTCGT